GAATCATGCCTGAAATCAATTACCCTGGGAAATGGACTCTAACGCTTGGAGATTTACATGCATGATGTTTATTAGTGAGTGTTCTGGGTAACATCTTTAAGTATAAAGCAAGCAAGATAGGGCAGAATAAAATAAACTGCAATGCTGTTGTAACAGAGGCCTCTACCACTAATGAGGGAGCTCTGGAGAGAGAAGAAACTTTCAGAATTGCTCCAATTATATCCACTCCCTTACACACACGAGTGAGAAGCAGAGAGCTTTTAGGGAGAAGGCATAATCTTGGGGTAAGTGACATAGTTTCCTCTGGTAGCAGAGTGAGTGCCTCCTTCCAGAAGCGGGGTCTTGATTAGTACCATTATACAACTGCAGGTCAGTATGCCATCTGATGAAGCATTTGAGTAGACTCAGGAAAACTATTGCTTCTTAATTATACAGCTAATCAAAATGGAAATAATTTTTCAGCTAGTATCATGAAAATATTTTATTTCCCTATTCTCCCATTTTTTAAAGAATCTCTATCAAGAATTTCTTCTGAAAGATAATTAAAACTCTAAGTTAAGGTTTATCCAGAGCAATGAGGCTATCACTGGCAGGGACATTTTGGCTTCATATCTGCAAGATTCAAATCCTCCATAACTAGTGGGCTCTGGAGAGACAGAACATTAGGTGACAAAACTGAATCTAAGTTGCAATTTTTAATAATATCTTCAATAACAGAATAACCATTTCTCTATATACTTTCTGTTCAAAGGAGGCAGTGTAGCAGAGAGCTGAAGAGTGACCACAGGTATAAAGCTTTAATTTTGCAAGATGAGCAAGTTCTAGAGCTCTGCTGTACAACATTGTGCCTAGAATTAACAATACTGTATAATAAACTCTCAAATATATTTGGAGGGCAAATCTTGTATTAAGTGTTCAACAATCAAGAAATACAATACAAAACAATGCAATACAATACAATACAGAATGATGTAATAGTGTATACTCTGAAGGCAGACGGCTCACATTTACATTATGACTCCACTCCCTCTGTGCCTTGGACTTGGGGCAAAAGCTCACTTTTCTTCTCTGTGAAATGGGCTGGTTGTATACTTCACAGGGTTGTGATCACCAAGTGAGTCAGAGGCAGAATAATGTGGTTGTAAAGACAAGGGTCTGGCACCAAACTGCATGGGCTAGGATCCTGCTTGACCCTTATCATTTTCACTTTTCCACTTATTTCCTTGTTTACAAAAAAAGGGAGAGAGAGTGTAAACATTAACAAACTCCAAGGGTGTTTATATGAATTATGTGATTTAATACAGGAAAGGAGTTTAGTAGAGTGCCAAGCATGCAGCAAGTTCTCAGTCGGCGTGAGCTCTGATAATGAGTTGCCGAGGGGGCTTGCAAATTTCAACCGAATTTCGTGAGGATGAGTAACACTTGAGCGCGTTCTGCTCTAGTGCCCTTGGAGCCTAGCAGATGAGAAGTCCGGGGCATAAGTAAAACTATGATATTAAGAAACAGAAATGCTTCCCCTCTCTCTGCCCTGACCCACCCCGCCCCAGTCGGCTGGGACTCCCAGGCTGGGTGGAGGAGTGTTTACCACAGTTCACTTCCCCATTTCAGCAGATCCCCAAGTAGACCGGAGACCCCTGCCTATTCTGTTTGTGCAGTCATGGGGAAGTGAGTATTTCTAACCACTTCCCTATGGAGCAGGGTAGCATTAGTATTGCCTGAAGCCAAAGAACTCTTCCTCAAAAAGGTAAGCCTAGACTGGGGAGACACCGCACTGTGGGTAGTTCTAATGAAATATAACCCTGTTTCTCAGTCTTTGGAGTTTATTAAACAGTCAGAGAACTTGGAAATCCATAAGCCAGGGGGCGCCTGGGTGGCTCAGGTTAAGCATCTGACTTTGGCTCAGGTCATGATCTCATGGTTTGTGGGTTCGAGCCCCAGGTTGAGCTCTAGGCTGACAGCTAGCTCAGAGCCTGGAGCCTGTTTCAGATTCTGTGTCTCCCTCTCTCTCTGACCCCCTGCTACTCACGCTGTCTCTCTTTCTCTCTCTCAGAAATAAATAAAACATTAAAAAAAAAAAAAACGGAAATCCATAAGCCGAGCTGCATGGCAATCATCTGGATTTGTGACTCTGAAAGGTCGCAGCAAGGATGGTTAGCCTGGAGGAGGGCGGAGAGCAAAGGCTGCGGAGTCCGGCTAGCCTTGCTCTGCTGGCTGCCCATGTCAGGCAAGTAAGCCTCTTTACCTCTCTGCACTTCAGTTTCTTTACCTGTGAAATGTGATATCAGTTATCATTATCTGAGTGCTTATGATGCTCCAAACACAACATTTGAACTAATGTATTATTCTTCCTTTTTCACACACACACACACACACACACACACACACAAACACACACAAAGAATTCAGTGAGTATAAATAACTTACCCAGGGTAAGTCTGCTAATAAAAGTCTTTATTAAAATTCAAGTTTGTCTCTAAAGCCTATCCCCTAAGGAGTTAGCACTCCTCCCTAAGCCCAGCATACAGGAATGCAATAAATCACTGCTATTACAAAATGGCATTGGCCGTGATTACCACCTGTACATAATATAGATTAAAAAAAAAGATAGATGTAGGGCCAATTGTCCTTTTTGCACTGGCACATATGAATACCATCTTATGGTTTCAAAAGAAACATATTTGTCTCTTGGAACATGGTCTGACCAGAGTGTAGTTCCAGAAAGAAGAGAAATTCTGTTTATGCATGCTGCATACATAGCATAATAAAGGAGAAAGAACATTGGACTAAGAATCAATAAGCATTTTATATTTTTCAAAAAAATTATTGTCTCATTTCATCCTATGTCAACGTCTTTATTTTTATCCTAATAGATGAGAAAGCAGTCTCTGAGTGGACGTAGTGATATGTTTGGTTTATACCAGTGCTCTTTCCTTTAATGCCTCTAGTCTAGAGAACATCAGTAGCCAGAAACTCTTGGCAACACACTTCTCTCCTCTTGGTCTGGGGGTTTTTATCTATAAAATGTGAGTGGGCTGAAGATTATTTAATTTCAAAGTCATTTCTTTTCCAAGGGTCTAGGCATCTTGCAACTATTTAACAAATGGCTTCAGGGATGGCCTTGGCTCAAGATGAAACTCACCTGTTAATGGGTTGGTTGCTTAAAATTGTGCTATATTTATCCACTTGTCTTTGTGTATATACTTCTGGCTATGCATTTGATTACTTTGATAAGATTTGGTATTAAATAATATTTTCTCAAAGTTTGGTCCTCTGCTTTCATTCAGGAGAGTTCTCTGGAAATTTCAATCTTGGGATAAATGAGGCAGGGTCAACTAGATGTCTTCATTTTTTTTTTAATATAGGGGATGTTTGTAGGGCACTTTTTCAATCATAAAATGGGCCAAAGTTATTTATCTTGCATATAGAAATATAATTAAATTGCTGCTTGAGGGGCACCTGGGTGGCTTAGTTGGTTAAGCGTCGGACTTTCGCTTAGGTCATGATCTCGTGGTTCGTGGGTTCAAGCCCTGTGTCGGACTCTGTGCTGACTGCCAGCTCAGAGCCTGGAGCCTGTTTCAGAGTCTGTATCTTCCTCTCTCTCTGACCCTCCCCTGCTCACGCTCTCTCTCTCTCTCCTAGAAATAAATAAAAAAAATAAATAAATAAAAAGAAATTGCTGCTTGATTGTTATCTGTGTAACCCCCAATAACAGTAAGATTGGGACAGTCTGCCACGCAAAGGCTATGCTGAGTAGAGGGCTGGGCATTCATTTGTCAGAAGAGTCAAAAGATTTGCTTTAGAGGAAGCTGGTTTTCCCCTGCAGTGCTGGGCCTCTGAGCATTGCCTAGTCCTAGAGGGGATTATTTAAAAATAGTTAATTATTTCTAGGCTCATGGGAGACGCCAAAGAGTGATTGGGATTCTAAACCTCAGGTCTGTGCATTTCTCCACGGGTCAAATTTCTCTACAGTAAGATTGCATTGGGCCTGTACAATGTATTGCTTGGTTTTAATAAGTTTTAAAGTGTTTCCTGTCCAAGCATTTTCCAGCTTCATTCATTTGAGTTATTATGCCCGCCCCTTGATGGCATTTGAGCTGTCATCTCTGAAACAGGGGATCCTATATACAGTGCTTTCATCCTGTGCTAAACACTTTACATATGTATTTATTTTCAAGACAGAATTGTCAGTTAGATGTTAGCATCACCTGTTTACAAATGAGTAAACTGAGGCTCAAAAAGAAGAACTTGCCAAAGCACAATAACTCATAAATACCCCTACGGACTGGCTGAGCATTAGGCTTGATAGGTCTTGGTTTTCTTGGATCTGTTTCTTCTGTCTCCAGTGCCTTCTCAAGTGAGTGTACCAGCGTCCAATGGACTCTAGGACTTGAATTTATTCTTTCATATAAACAACAGAGACACCGTACTTTTTCATTACAGACTTCATTTATTATTAGCTACACTTGAGTGACTAAGGGTGACATGATCTTGCTTCCCTGAGGGGATTCCCCCAACCCCCAGCCCTGGACCCCCATGTACTCATTCATTGCTGGACCTGCCCTTTTCAAGCCATTAGCAAATTTAGTTCATCCATAATATCTCCTTAGTTATAATTGAAATAACTTGTTCAGCAGAGAGACCTGGAGAGAGGCGACATCGCATAATAATCCATCTTCAAATAACTGAAAATCCAAGAAAGAAAAAATAGTATGTCTATGACTCTGAAGAGTAAAGCCTGGTAGAGTGGACCTGCTTGAGCTGCAATTTTTCAGAGCTGCCCATCAATCCCAGCGTCAAATCCAATCTTTCCGGGTTTCTCCCCAGACACCCAACTTCTAGGTTCCCACCTGGGTATGGAGACCTGACCTCACGGCGCCAGCGTCCCCACCCGCGGGCCACAGAGTTGCTGTGGAGGAGCCGCCGCAGACACACCCGCCCCTTTGTCGCAGACGCGTGGCGGCCGTCTCCTGGCAACAGCAGACGCAGAGCTGGTCCGAAGGCGGCTCGGTGAGCGGAGCTCAGTCCGCGCCGGGGTCCTGGGTCCTGGGTCCTGGGTCCTCCTCTGCCATGGCCTCCAAACAAGCCAAAAAGAGAGAGGTGCATCGTATCAATTCGGCGCACGGATCGGAAAAATCTAAAGAGTAAGGGATCTTTGCCTGCCCACCCCACCCCTGGCCCAACCTCTCGGCCTCACCACCCCTCCCCAGGCTGCTGCCCTGCAGGCTCGGCCAGGGCGGGACTGTGGCTCACCTGCTCCCGGCTTCTGTACCCTCGCTGGGAAACCCCCTGTCTGTCTTGATCCGCCCCCTTCCCAGAGCCCCGAGTTTCCCTGCCTCCTGCCCAGCTGCCCTTCTGGTTTCCATCCGTGAACCCCCTTCCCCACCCCCACTCTACCCGCCCCTCCTCACTTCCTTCATAGCCCACCCTGGCTTTCAGAAGGGTTGCAGCTGCCTGAAGAAAGAGGCATAGCTCAAAGGCTGTCCAGGTAACGGTCACATCTTGTTGGCCCCAATGATGACAGAGACAGACAGAGGTAGAAAGACAGAAAGAGAACTTTGACCTTGGTGATTCCCTATTTTGTATCTGCCTCAGTCCGACAACTAAACGCCTTTAACCAGATGACATCAGATGTAAAATGGTTTTAAAAAGTTAAAACTAGGGGCGCCTGGCTGGCTCAGTGGGTTGAGCGTCTGACTTTGGCTCAGGTCATGATCTCACCGTGCGTGAGTTTGAGCCCCGCGTGGGGCTCTGTGCTGAGAGCTCCCACCTGGAGCCTGTTTCAGTTTGTCTCCTTCTCTCTCTGCCCTGCCCCTGCTCACGCTCTCTCTCTCTCTCTCTCTCAAAAATAAACATTAAAAAAAAAGTTAAAACTATACCCATATGTAGTTCATGTTACTAATATAGCTCATCCCCATGTTCCTGATTCCCTAGTCCCTAGTCTGTCTTCACTCATAAGCAGACTTCCAGCTACCTGGCAGATAATCCATTCATTTTAATAACTTAACTTTCAGGTACTATATTACGTACAGAAGTGATTTTAATAAGATTGCTCTCCTGCTAAATACCAGTGTAGGTCAGGTCATTTCAACATTTACTAATAACTTCCATTCTTATAAGTCCAAGGCCTACAAGGCCCTATAAGATCAGGCTCTTACTACTTTTCTAACTTTACCACCTCCTTGTTCACATACAAGTCTCCTCTCCACTCCCTGGAATACCCCTATGCTATTCCTACCCCAGAGCCTTTGCACTTGCTATTTCTGCTGCTTGAAAGCTCTTCCTCCAGATTTTTATTTGGTTTTCTTCCTCACCTCCTTTAAGTGTGTACCTAAATGTCATTTTCTCATGTTAGCTTCTTTGGCCAACTGGTTTAAAATCACAACACTCAGGGAGCCTGCGTGGCTCAGTCGGTTAAGCGTCCCGCTTTGGCTCAGGTCATGCATGATCTTGTGGTCTGTGGGTTTGAGCCCCACGTTGGACTCTGTGCTGACATCCCAGAGCCTGGAGCCTGTTTCAGATTCTGCGTCTTCCCCTCTCTCTCTGCCCCTCCCCCACTCATGCTCTGTCTCTCTCCATCTCTCAAAAATGAATGAATGTTAAGAAATTTAAAAAAAAAAAAAGGGAAAAAGAAAACCACAACACCCATTTTCCTGCTAAAACCAAAACAAACAAAGCAAACAAAACCCCTCCCTATTTTCCTTTGCTGCTTTATTTTTCTTAAAATTTTTTTCATTTAAAATACTATATATTTTACTTTTAAAAATTATGTTTATTTATTTGTCTTCTGGATAGAATGTAAGTTCCATGAGGGTGGATCTTTTTCTTTTTCTATTTTATACACTGTTGGCTCCTTAGTGCCTAAAGTGATTCCTGGATCATATGTGAGAGATACTCAAAAATGAGTATTTAATGAACAAATGACAATGATTAAATAAGAGATTATGACAGGGTTGCAAAAGAATTATTCAATATATTTTAAAAATTTAGTCAATGATGTTTATAATTAATGCATGTTAAAGGTTCATAACTCTTAAGGAGCTTTGGGGGAAATCTTTGACTTTAAAGAGTTTATATCCTAAAAGATGGGACGCCTGGGTGGCTCAGTTGGTGAAGTGTCTGACTTCAGCTCAGGTCATGATCTCACAGTTCATAGGTTCGAGCCCCGCATCGGTCTCTGTGCTGATAGCCTGCTCAGATCCTGAAGCCTGTTTCAGATTCTGTATCTCCTTCTCTCTTGGACCCTCCTCTGCTCATGCTGTCTCTCTCTCTTTCTCTCTCTCTCTCTCCCTCAGAAATAAATAAAACATTAAAAAAAATTTTAAATAAAAACAACAGTTTATATCTTGAAAGAGATGAGGTTGTTAAAAAAATATATATATTAAACCAGATACCATAAAACACAGTACATGGGCTGGTCCTATGATGATCATGTCACATGGGAGAGATAAGGTGCTTACTGATAAGATGCTAACTCTCTCCTCTCCAGTACTTCCCATTTCTTTTTGAGATGATAATGTTATTTCTAACCTGTTAATTTTTCCAGAGAATATCTGAGTTGAATTATATCAATAAAACTGAAAGTGAGTATTTATGAAAATAGAAAATCAAAGGCAAATAGGTATACAAAATCTAGGCTTTGCCAGAAACTACCTATTGAGGATTAAACATCAAACCATTAGATTTTGCTGTAGCATTATATGATAGAATGTGAAGTTTGTTATAAATCAAGTCGGCCATCGGAGTTTTACTGAAAATCCAATCATAGATACCAGGCTTAGTCATCATTAAAAGATAAGGTGACACCCAGCATGGGGCCTGGAGATTGAAGTCTATCAAGGCTCTAGTGTAATTGTCACTTGAAATGTGCTGTGGGCATTTATAGTAAGTTTTTATATATCACTTTACCACACCTTGTGGTTACACAGCCAATCTATGCAACCAACTCTACTATAGTCCTAGATCTGGAAATGAGACGAAAGGTCTGCAGAGCCTTGAAAATAGCAATCGCCAGCATACCTCTTTTATTTCCTAAAATTATGTGTCATAATGGAGACATGGCTGGCTTTTGCTTAGCATGCTAGCTAGTACTGAGCATTACCACTTGCTGATTACATGAGGTCATACTTTAGTGACCTAGCTTGATTTCCATCCCTTCTGAGTTGGATTAAAGCCTGGTTCTCCCTCCCTTTCTAATCTGATCTGCTGTTGGCAAAGTGCAAAAACGGAGATGTTACAACTGAAAAAGCAGAGACATCTATGTCCACCTCTGACCAAATTCAGAAGAAACATGATTTGAATCGTTAATACAAGTTATGTCAGATAGCTGAGTTGTCAGTCTTGACATTAGAGGAAATTGTTACCATTTGATGTTTCCCCGAACCAGGAAGAATGGAATCTCTGATACATGGTTCATTCTGCCACTAGTTTGTGTGTGTGTGTGTGTGTGTGTGTGATATTGGACACGTCATTTTTCTATTCTGACCTTCAATGTTTTTCTTCTTTAAATGAAGAACCATCTAATTAAAATTGCTCCCAATCCAACATACTCTGTCCTTCCTTCTCTGTTTTAATTTTCCCCTCCAGCTCCAAACTTCTGTGACTTCATCAGATTTTTTAAAAACTCCGCTGGGTCCATAATGAGTAAGGGAATTTTGTTAGAGTTAAGCACTTCAACTTTGATTTAATTTATGTTTTCTATTAGAAGTTATCTTTTAAATATTCCATCTTCAGGAAAAGTAATTGTCATAACAAATGTCACAAGTTGCAGCTCTCCTTATCAAATAACTAATGATAATTAGAAATTATGAACCAGTCTAACTTAGTCAATTTGGAAACCAACTGGCATGGCAAAGACATTTTCATTTGTTAGATGCTGTTAGAAGGATTTGTAGTGACACCAAGTCAAAGATTTGATTTTTCTTGGAGGAACTAAATATAAACCTTTGTGTAGATCATGGATAACTTAAAAGAGAGAAAAGAAAGCATGCATTTTAAATAGTCATAGTTATTAGAAATGTTCAAGCTTACACTTTTTAACACTAAATTCTTTGGGACTTTAATGGACAGTCTGAGAAAAGGAAATAATTCAGTGTTTATGGTCAACAAAATTCTGTTTGACTTCCAATAGCATATTCAAACTAAGCTCAAACAGACAACCTTTTAAACTAACAAGAATTATGCCACCTTCCAGATCCTTCATGATGATGAAATATCACTGAAACTGTTTCTAAAACAGAATGAAATATATTTCATAATGCTCAAGTTAATCTATCCTTACTGGCTTAAGTGCATATCTAAATTTTCTCTCAAAAAAGATCAACACATTAGCCCACTTGAAAATTTGAAAACAGGACTATTAGAAAAACCCAATTGTGGTTGGTATTATGAAAGCAACATAAAATAGAAGATAAATATCTTACTGAGGATTAAATTAAGTGGATTCTTGGTTACAAGAGGTTCAAGAGGGATTAAATGGAAACATGCATATGTTCTTCCACCTTCAGAGATCAGGAAAGAAATTCCCCATAAGAGAGGGGAAAGGTGCCATGTAGCCCCATGTCCAGTCCACACAGCTCCACAGAGAAAAGCAGAGGAGGAAGACCAGTAAAGGAGGAAACAGACCAGGGCTCACACTGAGTTTTGTGATTTCCCCAGGCAACCTTTGTGGACCCCAACAACCAAGGTCAATTAACAAATTTGAAAAGTCAGCTCCTGTGACAGAAACTTCCTTAGGGGAAAGCTTATTCTTCATGTTCATCTCTCAACTGTTCAATGAGCATTTCTCATGCTCAAGTCACCGGTAGATCTGGGAGGACAAGGAGTTGTGAAACGTGGTATCTTCTCTCCAGGGATATGGAATCGGGGAGCCCCAAAAAAGCTGCTAAGATTCACACAGAAGTAACAAGGAAGCATATGGTGGTGCCACACCAGTCAGGAGGTACTTGTTAGAAATCATGGAAGGAGCATATGTTGGCTTGGGGTTAGATTAGAGCCATCATGAGGTTCCTAAAATGAGGGCTCTGTGAGGCAGAGGAGAGGAAGGTCATTTCCAACTAGAGTTGGTCTGTCCTCACTCCTCTAACAGCCAATACCTAATTCGGAAGGCATAGGTTTGGGAGAGGATCAGTGCAGCCAACAGGAA